TTCTCTTTTTGATTCATTTTGTGCAGATATAGCTAACCCAGAATTTAGCTAACAATACCTTAATACACCTCATTTTTTGTGAGGTACTGAGCTAGAGAATTAAGGATAGAAGACCCATAGGATTGGAAATCTAAGGAAAAATTGCAAGAATAGCAAAATGCATACTTCTCTCCCGCAACATGTGAGAGAACGAGTAAGCATCATAAAATAGCAGTTTAATTTCTGTAGTTTAAAAACCTAATAAGTAGTTGAAGTCAATCAAAATAACTCAGTTATTCATGCATAATACTCGTAAAAATAAATTCACTTATGCATCTTGAATTAGACACAATCAAAGACTGTTTGTAAGATGGCACTGAACCAAAAGAAAATTAGGAAAATCCTTAACAAATTGCAATACACGAAGTCTTGCCATCTTCACTGCGACAATTTCACAAGTATCATACTGCTTCACTGCAACAAAAATAAAAATAAAAAATTAATGATAATTTTTTATTGATGGCAACAATCTCAAAGGTCATGCTTAAGATTATTTATACATAAGTAGTTAATTTTCATAAACCATATGTGATTGGTTAACAATATTTACTTAAATCTAATATTGATATTTTAATTTATTGTTTTCAGAATAAGGGATAAACAAATTGCACTTGAGAAAAGGGCAGCTGTATGGTTGGCAAGGGCAGAAAATGGCCAGGGGCTGTACATCTCTCCTGCAATGCAACATGAGAGAGAATGAGTAAGCATCATAAAATAGCTAAGTTTAATTTCAGTAGTTTAAAAGCCTAATAAGGAGTTAGAGTCAATCAAAATAACTCAGTTATTCATGCGTAGTAATCATAAAAATAAATTCCCAAATTTAACTTGAATCAGAGTCAACATTCATTCTTCCTTGAATAGATCTAGAATATTAAAGTGAGAGCAGTCAGTAATTGTTTTGTTACTTTGTACCATCTGAGTTATCCACATTTTGAACGACATCCATATCATTTTCTAGGAACTCAACTGACAATTCTCTTCGCATTAAAAAATCATCTCTATAAGTGTAATCATCCTGGTTGTCATCCACATCATCAGGAGAAACATGTGTATCAGCTACTTCAAGCATCAAGGCTGTCAGAAACATAATCAGAATCATTTGAGATGCAAGTCTTTTCATTTCCATCAATATTTTGCTTTCTACCATATACTTTAATCAATTCACAAAAGTCTTTTGCATAAGACTTTGACGTTCGACTATCCTTTAACTGTATGAAGCCACGGTTAACAAGATTGTATATTCATAGATGAATGTACAAGTTAATAGTTATAATCAACAAATTCACCATGAAGGGTAAATTAGATCGAAAAAATGATGTAAGAACAACATTCGTTTCTTTCGACATGTGTAGTGATTTTAAAATGTCTTCTTGAACTCTTTTTGTAGCTGTAGGTGTCTGTAGGTGTCTAAGCCATCAGATGGATTTGGATATCAAAATTCAGGGATTTTAGCTTACTAGCACTGAAATTTTCTCTCAACACAGACAGTTGGCAGAAACAAAAAAAAAATTAAAACAGGTCATACTTATGACATTCACAATAGACTAGAAACATTAAATAAATTGTGAAGTGTGCACAAAACAAAGAACAAATGAAATCTGCATGGTAACCAATCAAAATAACCAATAACTGATCTAAATTTCGCCAATATGCAAACCACAAGTTACATTTACAATCATTTAAGATGTTCTAAAGAAACTCATCAATCCAGTTCACCTCAGCAAACCACAAACAATAAGGGACAAAAAACAGACCTGTAGTCTGGACGGAAATCATGACCCCATTCAGAAACACAATGTACCTCGTCAATTGCAAATAAAGCAATACTGCGACCTTCTGGAAGCTTCTGCAGTGGTTGAATCAATCTACAGAACATTGCATTGTAGTTACAAAACATTAAAAGAGTCAAAAAGCCATCTTCTAAGACATGCGATGGACTTCAACATCAACTTAAATATGAAATAAATTAAGTCAGGCAGATCAAGGATCCAAACCGTACCTCATCACAGTCTTTGGGCACACCAAAACTATACTATACAAGCCTCTCATTGCGTTACATTCAACAATATCATCAAGTTGCCCCAAGCCAAGAAAGCAAGCACTGATTGCATGTTTTGTTAGTTTTAAACACTGGTCATGCATGAGGCTTATCAAGGGCAAAATCACAACCACCACTTTCCCAGACAACAATGTAGGAATCTGAAAGCATAGAGACTTCCTTGTGCCAAAAGTATAATTATAAACAAATCCACATAAGCTACTCTACATCGTAAGTAAGGGTCTCGTAGTATAACTACTCTGGCAGAACTTTAAGTGTAGCAAGTTAAGAAGTAAATATGAAATAAATTTCTTTATAAACTAAAATTAACTTATGCATAAGCCATATTGTAGAAGTTCTTTTTTATTACCTTTTCCAAGATCTCCTTTTCTTTCATGCATGAGTTAGTTTTAGTTTATGGGAAATTTTATTTTCATTTTTATTTCCTATTTTTCTCTTTTAAAAGTGTTGCAAGAAAAAGTTATCCAAACATATCCTAAGGCAAAATTATTGAATACTTAAAGAACAAAACCAGATCCTGTTGCAGCAAGGACAAGATAGTCTTTATGAGCAACCCAAGAATAAAGCCCTCAACAGTAACCATTGGCTGCACTGCATTAGCCTTCTAAGTGCCAACAAGGAGAACAAAATACAAGGAGATGTGGCAATAAAATGATGGTGTTGTTCTAATTATTTTACAAAATGAACATAATTATTACCCAAAATAAACATATTTCTCCGAGGCAGCAACGCCATTGTTAACCTGTGAAGAATCAAAAGGAAACAAAAAGGTGAATCAAGATAAAAAGAATAATTCTTGAAAGAAAAAAGAACCTTTGTGGAGGAAGATGAAGTCTTCTTACTGTAAGAGCAAAAAAGATTCTTTATTATGTCTTGGCAACATTATTATTATGATGTTGATTCCATATAGTATGCATCTGGTCCTACCTTGTTAATAGCAACATAGGAACTATATAGGCAATAATCACTACAAATGGAAATAGTGCAGAGACAAATGAACTTGTTAATAGCAACATAGGAAATATATAGGCAACAATCACTACAAATGGAAATAGTGCAGAGACAAATGAACTGCTTAGATGAATATACATTCTATCATAAATTTTGAATAAAGAAGGTTCAAAAGTTATATTTCTTGAAAATTAAAAATATTAACGAGAAAAAAAATACATAGAATACTAGAAAATGGAATTGAGTGAAAGAGAGTGAAATATTAAGGAATGAGTTAGATTTATTATTTTCAACAAATTCCAAATAATCTCAATTTTTACGTCTAAAATATTTTTGTTCTAAGACTATATTATTATTAGTAGAAATTTAACAAAAACCGCATATCTCAGTGGCTCCCGCATCTCACAAAGATATATTATATTCAATAAGCATCTAAATAAGATTTTTATTATTTTGGACAAATTTCAAACAATATCCAATACATTCTCTCTAACATTCTATTATTAGCTAAAATTTATTAAAAATTACAAATCTCAATGAATCCCACATCTCACTAAGATTTACTATTTTCAATAAATTTAATGAAATTTGTCTTAACACTATTAATAACTGAAATTTAATGAAAATTACAAATTTTGATAACTCACATCTCACTAAGATTTATTATTTTCAATAAATTTCAAACAATCTCAAATATTTTTTATCTAAGACTACTAATAGCCAATTTATTGAAAATTATAAATCTTAGTGACTACGGCAACTCACTAAGATTTATTATTTTCAATAAATTCCAATATTTTTTTATCTGTTTATCATTTTCAATAAGACTCAAGCAATATCAAATATTTTGTCTAACACTATTCACACTTGAAATTCATTTTAAATTCATTTTAAATTATAAACCCTAAACCCTAAACCCTAAACACCCACAACTCACTAAGATTTATTATTTTCAATAAGATTCAAGAAATATCAAATATTTTGTGTAACACTATTCACACTTGAAATTCATTCTCCAATATTTTTTTGTCTAACACTAATAATAGGTGATACTTATTGAAAATAACAAATATCAATGACTCCCACAACTCACTAAGATTTATTATTTTTAGTAAACTCCTATATTTTTTTTATCTTAACACTATTATTAGCTACAATTTATTGAAAATTATAAATCTCGGTAACTCCCGCATTTCACTAAGATTTATAATTTTCAATAAGTTTCAAGCAATATCAAATATTTTGTCTAACACTATTCATAGTTTAAATTCATTGAAAATTACAAATCTCGGTGACTCCCGCATTTCACTAAGATTTATTATTTTCAACAAACTCCAATATTTTTTTATCTTATCCCTATTAAAAGCTGAAATTTATTGAAAATTATAAATCTCGGTGACTCCCGCTTCTCACTGAGATTTATTATTTTCAATAAGATTCAAGCAATATCAAATATTTTGTCTATAGCAATTCACACTTGAAACTCATTGAGAATTATAAATCTCGGAGACTCCAGCATCACACTAAGATTTATTATTTTCAAAAAATTTCAATTTTTTGTCTAAGACTATCCATAGCTGAAATTTATTGAAAATAACAAATCTTAATGACTCTCTCAACTCACTAAGATTTATTATTTTCAATAAACTCCAATATTTTTTCATCTTAACACTATTAATAGCTACAATTTGTTGAAAATTATAAATCTCGGTGACTCCCGCATTTCACCAAGATTTATAATTTTCAATAAGTTTCAAGCAATACCAAATATTTTTTCTAACACTATTCAGACTTGAAATTCATTGAAAATTATAAATCTCGGTGACTCCCGCATCTCACTAAGATTTATTATCTTCAATAAATTTCAAGCATTCTCCAATATTTTTTTGTCTAAGACTAATAACAGCTAATATTTATTGAAAATAACAAACACCAATAACTCCCACAACTCACTAAGATTTATTATTTTTAAGAAACTCCTATATTTTTATTTATTTATCACTATTATTAGCTACAAATTATTGAAAATTATAAATCTCGGTGATTCCCGCATGTCACTAAGATTTATAATTTTCAATAAGTTTCAAGCAATATCAAATATTGTCTAACACTATTCATAGTTGAAATTCATTGAAAATTACATTGAAAATTACAAATCTCGGTGACTCCCGCATTTCACTAAGATTTATTATTTTCAACAAACTCCAATATTTTTTTATCTTATCCCTATTAAAAGCTGAAATTTATTGAAAATTATAAATCTCGGTGACTCCCGCTTCTCATTAAGATTTATTATTTTCAATAAGATTCACGCAATATCAAATATTTTGTCTAGAGCAATTCACACTTGAAAGTCAATGAGAATTATAAATCTCGGTGACTCACGCATCTCACTAAGATTTATTATTTTCAAAAAAATTCAATTTTTTTTGTCTAAGACTAATAATAGCTGATATTTATTGAAAATAACAAATATCAATAACTCCCACAACTCACAAAGATTTATTATTTTTAATAAACTCCTATATTTTCTTTTATCTTAACACTATTATTAGCTACAATTTATTGAAAATTATAAATCTCGGTGACTCCCGCGTCTCACTGAGATTTATTATTTTCAACAAACTCCAATATTTTTTTATCTTATCCCTATTAAAAGCTGAAATTTATTCAAAATTATAAATCTCGGAGACTCCCGCATCTCACTAAGATTTATTATTTTCAAAAAATTTCAATTTTATGTCTAAAACTATCCATAGCTGAAATTTATTGAAAATAACAAATCTTAATGACTCCCTCAACTCACTAAGATTTATTATTTTCAATAAACTCCAATATTTTTTCATCTTAACACTATTAATAGCTGCAATTTGTTGAAAATTATAAATCTCGGTGACTCCCGCATTTCACCAAGATATATAATTTTCAATAAGTTTCAAGCAATACCAAATATTTTGTCTAACACTATTCAGACTTGAAATTCATTGAAAATTATAAATCTCGGTGACTCCCGCATCTCACTAAGATTTATTATCTTCAATAAATTTCAAGCATTCTCCAATATTTTTTGTCTAAGACTAATAACAGCTAATATTTATTGAAAATAACAAACATCAATAACTCCCACAACTCACTAAGATTTATTATTTTTAATAAACTCCTATATTTTTATTTATCTTATCACTATTATTAGCTACAAATTATTGAAAATTATAAATCTCGGTGACTCCCGCATTTCACTAAGATTTATAATTTTCAATAAGTTTCAAGCAATATCAAATATTGTCTAACACTATTCATAGTTGAAATTACTAAGATTTATTATTTTCAACAAACTCCAATATTTTTTTATCTTATCCCTATTAAAAGCTGAAATTTATTGAAAATTATAAATCTCGGTGACTCCCGCTTCTCACTAAGATTTATTATTTTCAATAAGATTCACGCAATATCAAATATTTTGTCTAGAGCAATTCACACTTGAAACTCATTGAGAATTATAAATCTCGGTGACTCCCGCATCTCACTAAGATTTATTATTTTCAAAAAATTTCAATTTTTTTTGTCTAAGACTATCCATAGCCGAAATTTATTGAAAATTACAAATTTTAATGACTCCCACAACTCACTAAGATTTATTATTTTCAATAATCTCCAATATTTTTTCATCTTAACACTATTAATAGCTGCAATTTGTTGAAAATTATAAATCTCGGTGACTCCCGCATTTCACTAAGATTTATAATTTTCAATAAGTTTCAAGCAATATCAAATATTTTGTCTAACACTATTCAGACTTGAAATTCATTGAAAATTATAAATCTCGGTGACTCCCGCATCTCACTAAGATTTATTATTTTCAATAGATTTCAAGCATTGTCCAATATTTTTTATCTAAGTCTAATAATAGCTAATATTTATTGAAAATAACAAATATCAATGACTCCCACAACTCACTAAGATTTATTATTTTAATAAATTCCTATATTTTTTTTTATCTTAACAGTATTATTAGCTACAATTTATTGAAAATTATAAATTTCGGCGACTCCCGCATTTCACTAAGATTTATAATTTTCAATAACTTTCAAGCAATATCAAATATTTTATCTAACACTATTCATAGCTAAAATTCATTGAAAATTACAAATCTCGGTGAATCCCGCATGTCACTAAGATTTATTATTTTCAACAAACTCCAATATTTTTTTATCTATCCCTATTAAAAGCTGCAATTTATTGAAAATTATAAATCTCGATGACTCACGCTTCTCACTAACATTTATTATTTTCAATAAGTTTCAAGAAATATCAAATATTTTGTCTAACACTATTCATAGCTGAAATTCATTGACTATTACAAATCTCGGGGACTCTCGCATCTCACTAGAATTAGCTATTTTCATAAATTTTCAAGCAATCTGCAACATTTTTGTGTAACACTAATATTTTCACAAAGATTCAAGCAATATCAAATATTTTTTCTAACACCATTCAAAGCTGGAATTCGTTGACAAATTACAAATTTCGATGACTCCTACATCTCATTAAGATTTATTATTTTCAATAAATTTCAAACAATATCAAATGTTGTGTCAAACATTTTTTATTATTTTCTGAAATTTATTAAAAATCACAAATCTCAATGTCTCCTTTA